AATACCAAAGTGAGCCTTTCCAAACCTTCCTCAACAGCAAACTCAACTCCTGTATACTCATCTTCCACCTCGGTATCTTCTTCCTCATCCACTGTCTCCTGCTCCACCAATTGACTTGCTTTCTTTCCGGGCAATTATTGGAACGATGCCCAGGTTTGTGGCATCTATAAAAATTATTTCCTTGGGCCTCTGATTTTCTGTAACTGATCCTACCATACTGCTGCTACCGATTTTAAACAAAACGCCACCATCTTAACCATTTTGTTCTCTAACACATTAATAATTTCTAAAAATCATTCACCTCCATCAACCAATCCAAAAAGTCCTCGATTTCCAGGTTACTAAAGAAGGGGGGAATACCTGTTTTAATCTGATGATCATCAAAGGTATTTCGATTTTGATGATTTCACAACAACGCTTTGAACTCCTCATCTGACTCCAATTCGCTTTCTTCTGCCACACATCTTATATTATTTCCTCTCCAAACTACAGGCTCGGCGATCTGTTCATTATTGTTTGCCTGTTGTTCATTTTGCCCATTGTTTCCAACGCCCAACAAAATCAATTGACAAATCTCTTGGATCTGAGTAGTAAGATCGTCAAGTCGTCGGTTTGTTGCGTCTAAATCTACCCTAGTAACTAGTACGTCACCCATGCTTATGAATCAAAGATATAAAGACGGGAAAGCCGAATCAGATACCATTTGACGTGGCGTGAAAAAAGGAATTCAAGCAAAATCCTTAAGAACACGAAATTCAGAATCCACCAAATTATGAAAAAAATGAACTCCTAAATTTTATTAATTGAAAGATTATAAAAATCAATGAGATAACCCTTATATTTATAAGGGTTTACATGAAAACCTAATTTAATAAGACTAAAATTAATGAAAACCAAGTTTAAATAAACTAGAATTAAAAAAGAACTTGAAATAAACTAAATGACAAAAATATCGTTAAAACTTTAAAAATTAGTTTTCAAATCCTAAACGAACTCGGATGACCGAAATCCATCGTACGTACATCATGGCATAGCCATGATGATTACTCGTATCATTGTCTTCTTTCCAAAATGCTATTATGAGCCTAAACTGAAATTCGGATGTTCTATTGCAATATATATATATTTTTTTTCCATTTTGATCCAATTCTTCAACAATACGTTCTATATCACATCTTTAATAAAAGTTAAAAAATTTCAAGGTAATATAAAAACATATATTTTAGAGCAATATTGTATAAATCATTTTCCTCCAAACAAATTGGACGAATCAAGAAATTGTAACACGTGCTCATGTTACCTTAGCCAAAGGGAAAGTAATAATTGTTGAATGTGCATTGCATTCAAGTTTTCAAAATTTGTGGCATGGATAGGATAGGAGTAACCCAAGAAGATAATAATTGACAGATATCCCTATAAAGGATAACATTTACATGCATATAAATTTCTACAAATAGTAATTGCTCCAGTGAATTCTCCAATTCCATGAATATAGGGTGTATAAATCTATCTAGAACAAACATTATATACCTATCCTTGCATTTCTAATCGATGTATAGTACAACATGATACAAAGTGAG